CTTCCCCTATTAATGAGTCATGCTTTGTGTTTTGTTTTGCTTTTTTTTTTTCCTTGAGACATACTGGGTGCAGCTGGCTGGCATTTAGTTTTTGTTGAGAGAAGAAAGCAACAATGGTGTCTAAACCTTATTTTCCTTGCCCTTTAGTTAAGGCTGTATGATCTGAGACACATCTTTTCCTATTCTTAGCCTGTAGTACTTGAATCTTTCCAAATTTAGTCCTGGAAAACCCCCAAATCTTCAAGCCCTTAAGATACTTACTGCCCCTCCTCAATGACTTCATCTCACTAATGTGATGAACAGTCTCACACAGCTCTCAGAATCACATTTTATCTGGGGTGCTACTTAGCTAAAGGAGTGAGTGAAGTCTGCAGCCTTTGTAAGGTCTTTGCTTTGTTCATAGACAATGATTTAAAAAAGTGCTAGGCTGGTTAATCGGAATGTCTCCCATCATGTCCTGACAGACTGCATTATTTCACTGCTTTAGTCACTTGTACCTTGATGACTACCTGTGTGTCTGGCTGACAGGATTCTCTAGCAGCAAGTACTTATAGATTTGAGTACTATTTGAGATTTGAGAAAATGATGTACGTGACTGAATGGTATCTGTAGAATTGGATGGCAGAAAGAGTAGAATGCACAGAGGAAGGGAGAGACACTAAACTCAGATTATTGTGGAGAACAGAAGTACATTTGTGAAAGATCTGATCAGTCATGCATTTGAAAAACACTCCTGCCAGATCCAGAGCCACTTCCTCTGACTTCAGTATCGGTCCCATAGGAATCCACTTAGAGTTGTAGTGGTTATGGTAGTTCTGCTGACAGATTCTCCTGGCCCCCTTTATTAGTTTATACAGTCAGTGAAGCTTCTGAGAAGGTCTGGAGATCACTATCCAACTGTCAAACTAAATGCATGCCATTCCTTTCTACCATGTGCATTTTACATGCTAATCTGACTCACTGGTAACATGCTTTGAGGATTACCCTGAAGGTTTTACTCCACTAGTGAAATTTGCTATGATTCAGGGTAAAATTCTGTGCTTGAATTCATATGCTGGACCTAAAAAATACAGGGCATGGATATATTACTGTAACTATTAAGAGACAGTTCCTACAGAGCAAATCCTAAAGAGCCAGAGTATTCACTTAAGTCACTGCTTGGCATGCAACCTGCACAAACTGCAGTACTAGTTGCCTCATGAAGTACAGAATCTCAGCTCTTCACTTGTCAAATTGCTCAGCCATGGACTCTTACTAGATGGCATTTGTTTCCTTCAGGCTCCTCCAGTTAATCTGTTATTTAAAGAGTGAAAGTAGAGGTGTACTGTTGTTCCCCTTGGCTACCGAAGGTGTACTTGTTTTTGTTCCTCTGGAATTACTGGCTGACCCAAGGGAGGAGCTATATAACAACAGTCTTGTTAGTTATGCCTGATTGCTTTATCAAGGACAAATTATCATCTTCACCCTCCTGCTGCCCTATGTAATTAAAAAAAAATCCACATCCCTCACCCAGCCACTCCTGTAATACTATGTAGCATTTCCCTAAATAAGTACTTCATGGCATGGTCAAAAAAAGAGCCTCAACTGCTTGTATTTATATCCAAAGAAAGGCTGATTAACTGGGTTCCATGAGAAGCAGCCCTTGCCAGAAAAGCTGTGGCCAAGTGTAATAAGGACCTAAAATCACTTCTGAGAATAATCGAGGAAAGACACATATTTTTGTTTTCCTAGTTGTTGTAGTTTAAGCTCAGCTGGTAACGCATAATCATGCAGCTGCTCGCTCACTTTCCCCCATTCTTCTTCCCCCTGTTCCTGGAAGAATGGGGAGGAGAACCAAAAGAATGTAAATCCCACGGGTTGAGGTAAGAACAGTCCAGTAACTAAGGTATAATACAAAACTACTACTGCTGCCACCAGTAGTAATAAGGGAAATAACAAGGAGAGAGAATATAAAACTAAAATGGGAAAATGAAAACAAACACGAGTGATGCACAATACAATTGCTCACCACCTGCTGACTGATACCCAGCCTCCAACCAAGCAGGGATATAGGGCCTTAAAGGTAACTACCCCCAGTGTCTATACTGGCCATGAGGTACTGTGGTATGGAATACCCCTTTGGCTAGTTCAGGTCAGGTGTCCTGTCTCTGCTTCCTCTCAGCTTCTGATTTCCTTCTCACTGGCAGAGTGTGAGAGACTGAAAAAGTCACTGAAATGTAAGCATTACTTATCAACAACTAAAAACATTGGTGTTATCAGCATTTTCCAGCTAAAGTCAAAAACACAGCACTGCATCAGCTACTAAGAAGAAGAATAACTGCTACAGCTGAACGCAGGAGACTCATATACCAAGAAACTGATTTTATAAGTAATAAGAAGCAGGATAAAAAACCTGACATCCCTTTCTGTCCCTATAAAGTCACAATTCCAAAATAGAAGTCAGTTTTTGTTGGGGTGTTTTTTGTTTGAGTATTTTTTTGTGTTTTTTTTGTTTTTTTGTTTTTTTTTTTTTAGTACATGGTTTATTTTTTTTCTTTCCCCAAAATCAGTGGATTTCCCAAGGCTAACAGTGTATTATTTACATTTTTTTATTTAAATGGATAACTCTCCAACAGTGTCACTTACAAAAAGTGACATTTAAGTAATTTTTGGCTACTAACTCCTGAATTACTGGAGGCTTACTTGGATAAATGATCTAGTTTTCATGTGTGTTAATTAACGTTGGCAGATATTTCCCTAGTTGTGTATACAATCAAGGAAGCCTGAAAGCAGGACTAGTGGAGAAATTGTCTTGTGTCCATTACAGGCATATGTGCAATGTTATCTTCCTCTTATTTGGTCAGCTATGTTGGTCTCGTAATTTTTTTCTTTCCATAGTTAAAAGCTGATGCTGTTGCTCTAAGCTGTCAGTGGGATCAGCATAATTCTTGTACTTCAGCTGTCTTCTTCCATGTGAAACACTGAAACATTAACATTTTCATTGAAGAAAGTTTTGTCAACAGATACCTAACTTAGGGTTATGTCAATGTCCATGAGTTTTTTAAATAAAAAAAATATGCACAACCTCTCTGTCACTGTATGGAAGCTTCCTTGTTTTCATTTGTATTAACTAAATTGTTAATTTAGTAATGTTAATCAGTAATGACTGTAAACACTATTTACTGTTTTTTAAACATTGATTCAGTTACCTTTTCAGAAGATAGAATCATAGAATCAGCCAGGTTGGAAAAGACCTTTAAGATCATCCACATAAGGAATTAGTTTATTCAATTATCTTTTCAGAAAATAAGGAATGGGTAGGCAGAGATCAAGATTAATAGAGACAAGACATAAATACTTGTAGATGTCACCAGTTCCTTTGTAATGCCTCTTAGTAAGTGGTGAAAGGCATGTTTTAAAAGCATTTGCCCATTTAAAACTGCAAAACAGCAAAAACACCTAAATACCTGAATGGATATGAACTGTTTGATACTGTTATTTGATCTCTCTCATTTAGTATCATTGCATTCTCATCCAATTTATGCCAGTCTGGTGTCTGAATGCTTTCCAATAATGGGGGAAAAGTACACACGGTTCTCCAAAGTTCAGGGAAAATCTTCAGTTTAGGTTTTCTGGTTTTTTTATAACAGAACTGGACAGTCAACTCTTAAAGTGCGATGCTAAGTTTATTCTGTGATTTCTTTTGTGGGTTTTTTTTGTGTTTTTATTGGTGGAAATGACTAGAAAATTAATAACCTTGAATCTAGTTGTCTTTGATCAGAATTGGGTAAAGGTTAGGCATTGTTGTGTATTCAGTTAAATCTACCACATGATACCCGGAAAGACTGAAATCTAACTGGGTTCAAACTTTGTTTTTTTTCCCCCACAACATGAGCAGTTTAAAAATTGTACGTATTTTCTGAGATGCTGTAGGTACTCTCTGATTAGGTATACTGCTTTTGCCTCCAGGCTGCTTCCTAATTATCTTTTCTGTGTCTACCTGGTTTGACTGCATGTGCTGAATCAATTTTTTTTTGTCTCTCCAGTGGTTTGTTTTTATTCTGAGAGTCAGAAGATGGGGTAAGGCAGAGCTGGTTCTTTCTGTGGCTTTATAGCAGATTCCTTTAGACGTGCTGGATGTCATCTCACAAAATTTCCACTCTTCACATCTTCAGTGGATTCAGTACACCAGTGAAAATGGAGCAATTGCACTGAGGTGAACGTAGTTACAGTTAGGCACAGATGCGCACACCTACCTCATTTTACAGAATACATTTATTGCCTGGTAAAAAAAGGAAATATTTTAAATATCCTCGATGTTAGAAAACACACTTTCCAAATATTTATATGGTAAATCTCACTATTTCAAAGCTGTTGTCTGTTTCAATAGGAAGCCTCTTAAAACTTGCTTATATAGTCATTGCTTATTAACTCTTACAGGTTTATAGGTACACTACATACAAGTGTGATAAGCAAGAGTTGGCTGAAATCCTTGTATAACCTCATATTTTCTTTTATATCCTGCACATAGATCTATTCCGATCAATATTTAGTACTTTATTATTAGTAGAAATTCCTGAACTAGTGAGTGGAAAGATGGTGAACATTTTACTGTCTGGGTCTGCATACAATTTAGGGAAAGCCTTTAAAGGTAGATAATAAATACACTTTAGAGTATGCACTTTATATAATACGCAATTAGAAAAAAAGGGGAAGAGGTGTTTTTGGCCGGAAAATGGACCATACCAGTCATTGGCAAACCCCATGCAGCCTAGTTCAGCGTGCTCTAAGCTTCCAGTTAGCAGAAACCCCTCGCATCTTTCCTCACCAGTACCGCGGACAGGCAGGATTATTTATATGAACAGCCTCAGGCCTAAATCCGTGCTCCTCTGCTGTGGTCGTGGGAGTGCTCGGTCTACGGCCCCGCTGCGGTGAGGCTGGCAGAGCCCCGGGGCGCTGGGGGGACGAGCGGGCAGCGGCGGAGACGCAGCCTTCGGCCGGCTTCCGCCGGGGCGGGGCAGCCTGCGGGCCCAGGCCTCACCTGGCTGCGGCATGGCCGTGCGGGGCAGGGGCGGCGCCGGGGGCAGAGTCCAGCGCGGGTGGCCGGCGGTGGCGGCAGGAGGCTGCTGCAGGCGCGGAAGATGCCGCTGGGACTGAGGAGCAAGAAGAAGGACAAGTCCAAGGAGACTTTCAAGCTGGTGGAGAGCGAGGCGGTGGCCCCGGTCCCCGCGGCTCCAGCGCCAGCCCCGGCCCCGAGCGCGTCGCGGCTGCAGTTCCACACGCAGCTAGCGCACGGCAGCCCCACGGGCCGCGTGGCGGGATTCGGCAGCGCCCGCGAGTTGTACGCGAAGATCGGCGAGGCGTTCGGCATCGACCCTGCGCAGGTACGGCCGGGAGCCGCGCATCGCAGGGGGCCGGCTGGGATCGGAGCGTGCTGGGGGGCTTGGCGCCGAGCTCCGCCAGCCGGAGCGGGCCTCGGAGAACGCGGACAGGGGCGGGGGGGGGATAGGGGAGGAGGGGGGTTGGTTCTGTGGCTGCCAGTGCCCTGGGCTTCTTTCATGTGATTGTGAACGTGGGTATTTTCTGTTACCGCATGAGGAAGGGTATAAGCATAACTGCATTTAAGTTTTACGCGGAAAAACAATGGCCCTTTTAACCAGAATACCTCTAGCGTCTTAACCTCTTGCCAGCCTGATGTTTAACTCAACTCTTAAGGGGCAAACCATTGGTTGAATGGAATAATTATTTCCAGCTTAGGAATTACTGACTGCAGTCATCCGACCCAGTTTAAAAAAAAAACAAAAACCCCCAAAATAAAGTCAGTGGGTCCATGAGGGTAGGTACCTGGCATGTAGATACCCACCCCAGTGGCAGGTATAAAAGCGTTCAATCTGACTGCATTTTAAAATCCCAGCGGAATGTGATGCTTGGAATGTTTTCTGCTTTACTCGACTGCTTAAGTGAGGTTATTTAAATCTCTAACAGGGGTTTTTTAACCCTGCTGCCTGTTTGATCTTTTTTTTTTTTTTTTTTTTTTCGGAGCCAAGTTTTAGACGTTTGTTTGGATAATGAATCATTTGTGTTTGTAAATGCATTGTTTTCTCTCAGCTAAAAGGTAGTGGCCATAGCAAGTTCTTCTTACGTGGTTCTGTGAACCTTAACCTCTGAGTGGCAAATTGCGGCCCTGTGCTAGCATTTGGTTATACCTGCATGTGGCTGTACTGCTTTACCTGTTTTCTCATTTGCAGCTGGCTCTTTTAAAGTAGTAAAGACTGCTGCTACAGACTTTGTTCGGAGGGTTTGCTACAGCCTGACCTAGCAGCGTTTCAAACAGAGCATGGTAAAAGAAAAGTGGCAGCGCATTGGGTACAGTTTTACCACTCACTGATGCATTAAGTAATTAAGAAGTACCAGCACGGCTGCCAGCCAATGCACCTACATCCCAGATCTTCACAGCTGCTTTCTGACCTTCTGCTTCTCTGTTTTCTTTCCATACAGAGCTGCTGTTCCCCTTTTGTTCTGTTCCATCTCCAGTTGTACCTTTTCCTCTCAACTTCTCATAATTGCCAGATTATCTTCTATTTGAGTTTTCTTCCTTTCACTGTTGAACTTCTGTTACTGATCTTTTGGCTCCATCGACTTGACAAAGAACAGTGTTCACCAGGAAATTCAATTTTGTATGAATGGTGTGCTCCCATTGGTAGTATAATCTAACACCCTGAAAGCTTTTAGAGGAAAGCACCACGTGTTTTATGGGCATCTATTGCTAGCCTTGTGCTAAACTAGGTAAGTTTCTTCTTTTGTCCTTTTTTCTCTACTGGCCTATTCCTATTTTTTTTTAATGTGGTTTATTGGTAAAAATGGATTTTTTTGATGAAGGCACTGGACTTAAAATCTTTTACTAAAGCAATTCAGTTGGCTTTAAGAATCTAAGTTGTACAAAATGAAAATAGTGATCAGAAATACTTGCTGGTGTAATGGGTGGCACAGTAGAGTTAAGAATGTGGGCCAGAGGGGCCAGGTAACAAGATTTTGTCTAGACAAGATAAAATAGGATAGATCAGTGAATGGCAAGGGATGACATGGAATGTGAGTTTATTACCAAGTGATGAGTTTTCTGGAAGTAAGGATAGACTAGATATTTTAAATGGTATTATCTATTAATTAAAGCTGCATTTGGACAGACAGTCTGGTGTAAAGAATAATGCCAGAAGCTACACTTCATCAAACTGAAAGATACTGAGGTACTCAAATGCCATTTGTAGGTGTTACCTGTCTAGGAAAGTTTCTGTGACCCAGCTATGCTGAAGCCTATGGGCAGTGTGATACCTGAATGCCTCTGGAAACAGGTACTATCACAAGAGATCTCTGTCCTGTAGTGACCCAGGTGGAAAACAGGGAGGGGGAAGTCGACGGGAAGAGTTCAGTGCAGAGAGAGCATTTGGATAACTGTTGCAGAAGTGAATACATTTAATATGATATCTGAGTTTACTGCAGTGTATGCAAGGGTATGGATTCTTGGATAAGTTCCTACTTAAGTGTTTCAGTATGGTTCAGGATAAGCTATACTTGTAATCTGTCACTTCTTTTGACTCCGCATGGTTAGAGCACCTCATTTCCTCTTTGTATCACATCTCATGGGACCAGCTGAGTTTGGCTTCTGTTGGAGAATCCTTTCCAGGATCTGTGATTGACTGCCAACAGTGACAGAGAGAAGCTTGTATAAAACAGCTATTTGTTGGATAGACCATGACAAAACCTTCTGTGCAAACCTGGATCATGAGTAGCGCAGAATGGGGGCAGAACAAGACTGGTGTAGCTTCAAAAGGGGTGCTCCTTCACTCCTATGATACTTGTTAGGCATCTGTGAAGAAGTGAGGCTTTCAGCAGCTTTCTCAGGCTTTTCCTGTACTCATCCTTTCTTGCCTAGGCATTTTATTCTTCATCCATCTTCCTAGGTGAATATATATCTCAGTTATCCCTTTTGAACCTGGCATTCAGCCTGCATTTCTGCCTACCTCTCTTGACTTTTACCATGACCAGCATTTCTTCTTTTCTTGGTCCAACGTGAATGCCCTTTCTTCGGGGAGGAGGAATGAAGATGACTTATAGCAATGGGTTGCTTGTATTATTAATATGAGTGCTGTTTGAGGGAGATTGCATTGTTTCATTGCTTTAGCTTGATTTCTTCAACAGGGTTTCAACAAGGAAACACAGAACTAAAAATAAACTTAATGAAAAAAATAGATGTAATTCTTAACTGACAGCACAACCCACCACAATAGGTTTATGTTTCTACTTTCATAAATAATACAAATATGTCCTCTGGTTTGTTTTTTTGTTTGTTTGTGTTTTTAATAGAGGATGAAGTAGGAAAAGTAGTTGGAAAAAGTATTTGGTGTGGTCTTGGCCATTTAGGGTTACTATTCCACTATGACTTTTGAGAAAGGTAGCAGGGAATGTTACATTCCCTGTAAGGGTTAAAGTACTAAGTGCAGCCTGTATGATAAATAAATGAGCACTGACCAAAGGACAATGTGGGTTTGTTAAAGCATTTGGTGGTGGTGTGCTCCTGTGAGAGCACATGGTAGGGCTTTAAAGTATTCAGAGTTGCTAATCAGGCACTGGTAACACTGATATTAAATTTCAACTGTAGCAGGGCTGTTTCTTGATGAGGTGAGAAGGGAATAGTAAGTTATGTGGACTTTCGATTTGTGTACCCATAATTTGCATTTCTGATTGTTCTGTTTGCTTTGGAAGGTCAAGTATGGTGGGGCTGGTGAGGTAAGTTGAATGCTTAGAAGGTGTGTCTGTCAAGAGCCTGTGGAGGTTGGAGTGTTTTCCATGGTGGAAGGAGTTTTGCTTCATAAGGGGAATACAAGAAAAGGGAGACCTTCCCAGGAGCACCAAGGGCAGAAATTCAGCTCCCTCTGTCTGTTCCACTAACAAGAGTTCAGCTGCTGAGTGTGTGTCTGGGCTGTTCCGTTGGCTTTGTCCCCTCATGTATACAGTTAGGTATACTGTGAGGCTGTGCCACATTAAGCTTTCATAGAAGTATTTGATTTAAACCTGTTCAATTTAAACTTTTATGGAAGAATACTGAAAAATAAGCCACTGCTGAAACTTAGGTTTCTGAATAAAAGTGACCTTATAACAAGAAAATAATCTGAAGTGTATTTTAGGAGGTTTGTGAGGTCAGCTTGTGAAATCCTCATCCTCATCACCAGAATGTTCTTAGTTTTAGAGTTAATGCTTATCAGTAGAAACAAATGGTTCACAATCTCGCCTGCAGTTTGAATGCTTTAAATGAACAAACTTAACACTCCCTACAAACCACCTCCTCCCAGCTCTATGGCAACAATTGTTTGCTTGGCTGTTCCGCTAAGCAGTGCTTAAATTTCACCCCTGTATTATGTGTGATGCTTGCTGTATTAATGATCTGGTTTTCAAATACTTTTAAGCTGTATGGAAGAAGTTACCCTGTAATTCTTGTGTGCTCTGGGTTAAAAAAAATACAAAATAAAACACTGAATGCCTGTTTTGTAGTACTTTGAATGTATTTGGGGAGGCAAAGTTGCATACCTGAGAGAGTACCAAAAGCACACTGGAACTTGGATGACTTGGTTACTCTTCCTGTTGCTGCAGCTAATCAAGGCTCCCTCATTTTCCTCGGAGAGGATAAAGTGAGTAAGGTGTCTGGAAAATGTGTTGGTGGTCTCTTGATATAATGACATCTATGTATAGTCAATGCTGAGAAGCAGAACTCCCATTTTCCCATCTCTTAAATAAAATGGTAATGATTGCCTCTGTAAAGTTATGAGATCTACTGATTTTAAAAGCACTTTTAATAGCTTCTGAGTATGTCATCTATCAGTCAACTTATTTTTGAGTTCTTCTAAAGGCGTCAGCTTAAAATGGAAGACGAGAAAGTAATATAGAGGATATGCAATATGGTACTACATAGGTACTTTATATAACACAATGTGACCCTCTTTTTCCTCACTAATACAGTTTCTTTATATAACACACAGTGTATCCCTGTTTTTAGTGGCTAATGTGGTCTCTACCTATTGAAAACACTGAGGCAGGGAATAATCTGTTAGTAATCTTATCTGAGAAATCGATTTTATAAGGTTGTGCATAAGCCCCTAGTCCCTGCCAGCCAAATGGAATTTCCTTGTTCTGTGTAACACACACAATAACACTCTCAGTTTAGGAGGTATCCTAGATACTTTGTGACTGATGTAACAGGTATGATTTGTAATATCTTGCTAAAGTTGACATGAAATGTCACAGCACTGATATGCAGAGTTAAAGAGCAAATGCATATGAATGTTGAAGGTAAGAAGAGAGAGAAAAGACTTAATGAAAATTGCACATTGATTTTTATTTTTCCTTGCTTCATTTCTGGGTAAGAACATTGCTATTAAAAATATACCAGACTTTGAGTGAATGGAAGATGTTCTATGGTACCTCCTGTTAAGTATGTAAGTATATAAACTGTTATTAGTTACCTGTATTAAACTTATGTACAATCTATGCAAATATATCATTTTTGAATTGAGAGGTCTCAGTCATGTACAAATAAAGCTGTTCTGTAACTGATAGGTAGTGTGATGGTATATTATCCTGCATAGGTACATCTTTAGCATATTACTCTTTGCATATATCTGTTCTGAGAAAAAGCAGAGGATAAAGAATGATACAAGTTTTATTTTTGACTGGCTGATGCTTTCTCAGCCTTGTGGTTAGCACATAACTGACTCACAGAAAATTCTGCAGACTTATAGGCTGTGGTAGGAATGCCATCCAGATGAAGGTCTAAAAAGAGAAACTCTGGATCGAGTTTCTAAATATCAGATTTCTGCTCTGTTGCCAATTTTATCTATTCAAAGGTGTGACAGTAGTTACTGAATGATTGTCTGTTTGACAAGGTCAGACGAAGGATGCTAATGTCTAAAATGTAAAGATATAGTGCTTGTTGTTCATTGTAAAAACGAACTGAGATGCAGTTGTCAACTAAGTTATGTAGCTCAACAGAGCTGCAAATATGCATATGTGAACTTTATACAGTCACTTTGAATTGAACGTTCTTGGTTAAAAGAAAACACTGCTGATTAGAGATTATTTATAAAATGAAATGAAATTTTCTACTTAAGCCCAGCTGAATTTCTCTAGGTGATATTACTGCTTCATTGTGGGTTAACTGAAAATCTTTGCATTACTTTGCATTCTCTTTGGAGAGAATAAAACTACTATCTGTTAATGGTGTGCTGTTATGACTCTCGTTGTTAACTTAAGGTATTAGATTGAAGTGGATGTTTGATGGATTATATGAGATAAGCAATTAGTCTTTTGTTTGTTTCTTTTAAATAAACACTAAAGAAGCCCCCCCCAAGAAACACCATCTCTGTACTAAACTTTCATTTTTTTAAACCCCGTAGTTATAGAATCAAAACTGTGGGAAGCTTCAGAAACTTAAATGCTCTCTGTAAAATACATTAGGAAAAGCTTTCACCCCTCATTTGACCTGGAATAGATTTGAATAGGTTGGTGACTTTCCATTTCTCTTCTGTCATCTATTAATGTGGGAAGGAAAGAAAAGGCATTTGAAGTGTTCTGGTGTGGAAAACCCTGTACCTCTTATAAGCATAGTGAGGGAAGCCAGGAGGGTGGGAGGGGACCCTCTTTTTCCAGCGAAGCATCAGAAGAGGTTGATAGGCTGCAGGCACACGTCTGTGCCTGGGTGTTGGGGCAGCTGGCCTGGCTTGCTGCTCCCAGGGAATGCCGCTGGAGCAGTAGCAAAGATGAAGGACACAGCGACATCCTGTTGCTGTTTTTTATCTCACATGCTAGGCTGGCTTCCCACTGTGTGCTGCTTTTCATGTGTGGGCACTACTTTTCCCACTGGTTAATTTGGAACTGCTGTGGGCAGTGGGCTGCAAGGGGGTCCAGAGTGTGCTCTGAAGGAAAATAACACCCAGCAGATACAGGCAGAAGGTAAAAAGGTATTTACTTCTCTCTCTTGTCCTGTCAGAGCTATGTGCATATTGCTGTCAGGAGAGCCATTGTTGGTTTGCAGTTGTGGCTTTGTCACTGGTGCTGGAGGGCCAAGTAGGGTGGCACCCTAGACCGTGTCTAGGCCTCACCCTAGACCGTGTCACCCAAGGCTCTGTCCAACCTGGCCTTGAACACCGCCAGGGATGGAGCATTCACAGCTTCCTTGGGCAACCCATTCCAGTGCCTCACCACCCTCACAGTAAAGAACTTCTTCCTTATATCCAATCTAAACTTTCCCTGTTTTAGTTTTAACCTGTAACCCCTTGTTCTATCACTATAGTCCCTAATGAAGAGTCTATCTCCAGCACCTTTGTAGGCCCCCTTCAGATGCAGCAGTATAAAGCATTTCATGCTGTCTCATGACTCTTTTGTTTTGATAAGCTCTCTCTTTTTTTTTTCTGTTTTCATGAAATTGTTTTCAAGCAGATATGTCATAAAGCAGTCCCTAGTGAATCCTCTGGGATTGGAGGTGGATGAATAAGGAAGCAAAAGGTGGTGGTGGCTCTTTGGTTTGATTGCTCTAACCTCTGGAACGAGCTGTTGGCTCTAGCTGAAGTTGCCCATGTCAAAGTTGGTGTGCTCAGACAATCTGTGAGAGGCTGCTCACACAGACATGTCTCTATACATTGCTGCCTGCCAGCTCTTATCACCAGAGTTTGAGCTATCGATGTGTTCTTTCATGTGCCTGGATGGAGACTATCACCTCACCTGGGGCAGCTAGAGAAGTAGAGTTGTCATCATTTCAGCTATGGATCTGTTAGAGAGGCCAGAGCTATGGTCTCCTTTTTTCTTCCCATCAAGCTCACCAAACCTGGTACACTGTTAAACTTAATGTCTTTGCTTTCCTTCCGCACAGATCATGTTTTGCACTTTGAACACTCATAAAGCTGATATGGACAAGCTCTTAGGTGCACAAATTGGCCTTGAAGATTTCATATTTGCCCACGTAAAAGGACAACGAAAAGAAATCGAAGTTCTTAAAACTGATGATGTGCTTGGGCTTACCATTACAGACAATGGAACTGGTTGTGCATTTATAAAGGTAAATTTAATTACTAGTGAAGTATTTTGTTCTATAGTAGCTTCTGTTACTTTAGCAGTTTAATTATTAGTTTAATGATGCTTTAGAACTACAAAACCTTTCATCATCATATATATGGTAAGTAAAAAATAAAGTTGGCTTTTCTTTAGGTACATCATTCAGAATTAGTTCAGCTATTTCTGTACTACATGTCATTCAAAATCAGTTAATTTGTTCATTGCTTCTGTACCATGTATCAGCTTTAAAATATGGCCATTGTATTTTCCAATCTACCCTGAGGTGGTAGGTGTTAAATACTGCTTGCACCTGCCCCCTCCTTTTTTTAAGTGATTTCCTGATGTCATTTATGGGGTGCTTATAGAACTTGTGTCACTCGTGATAATGAGATCATGTTCTTTCAGTCTTCATGACTGTTCACAGGGCAGAAGCCTTTGTGCTGTGTAAGAAAAGGTGCAAGTGTACGGCTTTTTCAGCTTTCCAATACTTTTGCCTTAGGTAGGGTGAATTAAAAGGTGCTGAGGGTATGAATTGACACATTTACCACAATTAATGTGAGTAGCAATTATGAGCAATAAAATATACTAATTGTAATTGCTTTCCTCTTCATCTTCTATGTGACCTCCGGATAGCATGTTTTGAGACAAGTAGAGGCTGAAGGAAATGACGTTACCCTTCTTGCTAGACTTGGTATAAGGAACCATGATAGCATTTTCTGCCTTTTTTTGGATGCTTTGCTCTAATCTACCCCAATTATTCATTATTAGTGAGGCATTGGCAATTATCTCTGATTATTGCTGTCCCAATCGCTGTTCTCATTGCTGTTGTAAACAGAACTTATTGTACAAAGAGGTATTATTCTCTCTTCATTCCTTAGCTGCCATACATATAAAACAAGATGTCGTTTAGGAATAGGTTTCCTTATCTGTTGTGGGAAAATGTGTTTGAGATCATGCTTGAGAAAGTCAAAATAAAGTGGAAGTTTCAGTAATCATTTTGGCAAAATCATACCCTTGTTTTTATGTTTCTAGACATGGAACTCTGTATTCATACTAGTAGCCCCATGCAGCATCTAACATTCAGTCACGCTGCTGCTTATGTGGCATTTTAAAAGAAGGCATTGAAAGCGGTGCTTCAGTGATTAAAGTTCATGTGTGCAGCACTGTACAGTGTTACTTTCTCTGTGCTTGGTTGCTAATATGTAGAGAGACAACAGCCATCACATAGGCTACTGCATAATTGGAGCAGGCTGGAAAATCCCCACCACATTAGCAAGACAAGCTGTAACTTCTAGTAAAACTTGTATAAAACTTGTCTGAACAAAGATACCATTGTTCTTTGTACTAGTCTAATAATAAGCAGTATAGTGAAAATGGTGCAGTCTTTGTGGGAATGCATTAGTTTAAAGGAGTATCTAGGAGTTTACTTTGTTGCTGTTGCATACTTAGCTAATGGATTTTTAAAAACAGTGTAGAAAATACATATGCAAAAGTAAAAGCTGCATCTTTTTTATACTTGGCTGTCTGGGTAAAAGAATAAGCAGAGATGGCCTCTAAAGTTCGATAAAGTTCTCCTTGTTTATGTTTTCTTTCCTTGAAAAATTGTTACTATGTTCCATTATTAATTAACAATATTAAATTTGGCTACCTGTGGGTTGTTGGAAGGTGTTATAGGCTGTGGTAGTTTTATTGTATTTTTAGTAACAGTGTAGTTTGTAGGTTTTTTAAACCTGACACTCTGAACTGCAGGTTGATTTCCCATGAAATCTAATGTTTTGCTTTACAAAGAATAAAACTTGGTATCATTTCAAAAAATTCTTTTCTGGGTATGTGGTCAGATGGGAAAGATGTATTAGGGGATCAAATTAGCCATTCAAAGAATAACAGAACTTGAAGCATGACTGACTGGTGTATAAGAAGACTATAAAATGGCGTGGTGCAACTAATTTTAGGTATTGCATAGGAAATACAGATCCTAGCATTTAGATGGACCGTAGAGCACTTGAAATATAGTCATATCAATCACACACCTTAATTACTGTGACAATGTAGCTCGGCTGTCTCTGATCAGTTAACTTGGAGTGATGATAAAAAAATGAAGTCAGATGAGAAAAAACGTTTGATATGACACGAAAACATAGCCAGTGAATATTACTTAAATAGTTTTGGTGTTAGGATCCAAGTGAAGAAAAAAAGCTGCATGAAAACTAATTCAATGTGTAGACTAAACATTACTTGAAGTGTGGTGGGTACGCTTTTGAATCTTGGCCGCTGGTAACAGAAATGCTTTTGGGACCTGGTTTCAGATCTGTGTATGATGCTCCCACCTCCTCATTCACCGTGAGGCTTCTTTCTGGTTTTTAATCTGGGTTACAAAGAGTTAAACTCAGCTTGAAGCTAAAAATTGTTACAGTATATTATAGGACACTGAGCAGTATCACACTTCCCACTGGCTCTCTCAAATGGAGGAACATATGTGGGTTCAGACATGTGCACAGAAACTAGAAGCAGGTTTCTGAGATAGTTACGCAGCTAGGCTAGGTGTTACAGTAGTGGGTGGTAATATGTTTATCTCCCTTGTCTCACTGTTACTTCACTCAGAATAAGCCTGAACAACATCAGGCTTTATTAAAAGTTATGTTATTCACAAAGATATTAGAATGAAATTCTTATATTTTAAAATTATAATTTACTGTGTCATGCCTTTTCTGTTAAATAGCCATAAGATAACAGGTTACATGACTTAGGCACGTGATAAACTTGACAGCATATAACAACAGTAAACACTGAAATTTTAAATGTCCTTTAAGTGACTTGGTAAATCATAAAATCATAGAATGGTTTGGAAAGGACTTTAAGGTTATCTAGTGCCATCCCTCTTTCAGGGGGGAGGGATGCCTTACCCTAGACCATGTCACCCAAGGCTCTGTCCAACCTGACCTTTTTTTCTCACTTTTTAAACTCTACAGAAACTACAAATATTAATTTGTTATGTTTTATGACCTTTAGAACATCAGTATATGTATTCCATGAGATGGCATTTAGGAGAATTTCTCATTCTTTATTGATATTTCAGAGGAAATACTTTAATATGCAGCTGTCATATCACTACAGATGGGTCTTATAAAGATTGGCATTTTATAGTATGTCATTTTTAGTATATCACACACATGTAGTTTGATGTCTCTGGACCACACTTAAGAAAAACTACATTCCTATGCCATTGTGGAGACCTCATAGTAGCCTTTCTGTATCTGAAGGGAGCCTACAATTATGTCGGAGAGGGACTCTTCATCAGGGACTGTAGTGATAAGACAAGGGGTAACAGGTTTAAACTTAAACAGGGAAAGTTCAGGTTAGATATAAGGAAGAAGTTCTTTACTGTGAGGGTGGTGAGGCAGTGGAATGGGTTGCCCAAGGAAGTTGTAAATGCTTCATCCGTGGTGGTCAAGGCCAGGTTGGACAGAGCCTTGGGTGACACGGTTTAGTGCAAGGTGTCCCTGCCCATGGCAGGGCCATGGAACTGGATGATCTTAAGGTCCTTTCCAACACAAACCATTCTGTGACTCTATGATGTATGATTCTGAAATAAAAAAAAAATCCAAAACTCAATTAAACATTCACATTACTGATGTGTTTGAATTGAGTTTTTAAGCACAAAAATATCTGCTTATTCAGAAGCCTTAACTTGGAAAGTATGAAGTATGATTGCATTTTTTTTTCCTGTTGATTTTGTATTTGATGCTTATTATAATACTTTTCTTGAAAAATAATTCTTTCAAAAATATGTTTTATGAAAATCTTATAGACAAAATGTACTGCTGGTACAATAAGCTCAACGGTATTGGTGGTGTTACTGACATATTTGAAACTCTGTGTTGTCACCTCTTTACCTTTTAAAGAAATTTTTCTTTGATATATATATGTATTTTATATATACATGAATATATATATTCTTTTTTTGCCAATAGAGAATCAAAGAAGGTAGCCTTATGGACCAAACCAAAATTATCTGCGTGGGTGATCACATAGAGACAATAAACGGAAAAAATGTGTCAGATTGTCGGCATTATGAAGTTGCTAAAATGCTAAAAGATCTGGAGAAAGGTCAAATGTTTAAGCTGCAGTTGATAGAGCCTATGAAAGCATTTGGTGAGTGACCCGTCTGTCCACCTTGTTCACTGAATGTTGAAATCCCAACATTGCATTGCGTAGTAAGTTTGTTTTCAGATAGCAGCCAGGTGTCCACCCAAGGTAACATAACTGCTACAAGGAAGTACGTTTGTTTTCTTTGAGGGGAAAATTTAGGTGTGGATTTTCTTCCATCTCATTTTCTCTGGCAGTCATCCTGGTGTGGGCTGCCTCAGTCTCTGTTGCTTGATTCCTTTGCTGCTACATGGTGATGGAAAATAAGCACAGCATTTGTTTCATAGCTACAATTTTAAAGCATGGATCACTTCACTAATGTGCTGATCCTCGACCCTCCTCTTTTCCTTTATTGATAGATAATCCTTGTTCATCTGTGTATCAGGTTTTTCTATTTTTGTACTCTTTACTGGGAACTGCACGCTCTAATGCAGAAGGATGCAGCAGAAAACGATTTGGGATTCCCTAAAGCACCTCCTTTGCTGCATATCTTCCTGCTCTCTCTCGCCCCAACTTTTCTGTGGATCTGTAATCAATCATACAGCAGGTATACTCAGAATTGGAAGAAAGTCGTATGACAAAGCTCTGTCTTTACCTACCACCTGCATGCTATGAGAAAGTGATACTTACCTAGGAGAAATGCCTACCTACTGCTAATCTTTAAGTATATTTTATCAAAATTACCCTCTTTGTCACAGCAACAAAAGTTTGAAATGTTTGGTTTTCAGATTTTTTTTTTTACCTATTAGTTTACAACTGCTGTCATACACCAGTCTTGACACTTGGTGTCAGAATAGCAGCAGAAATTGAAAATGAAGGAAATGTGAAGATTTCTTTTTGCTTTTGGTGCTTCTATGAAGAATGAAGATTATGAGTTAATCTCTAATGTGTTTGGATATAAGTTGATACTCCTGTTAAGTAAATGTGTATGTAATATGTTGCACTAAAGCAGTATTACATATGTATAGTATTTCAATTAGTAATATAGGAATACCTTTTTAATATGGGTCTATAATTTGTATTCAATGCTAAATGTTACGTAGTCTGTTTGTAAAGACCAGGGTAAATCAGCGTTTGATTGATGACTTTAGACATTATTTAATAGTAATTACTTTAGTCAGGTGATTAAGATGCCTTTTAGTCTGCTTGTGATGTAGAGAAAGAGATCTGCTAATTCCCCGGCAATACCTTTTATCTGACGTTGAATTAAGAGGCAGTCAGAGATTTTGGGGCCTATTTTTACCCTACAGAAATTAATTTACAAGCTGCAGTGCCCAACAGGTTAGGATATCACTCCTCTGGCCTTAGGTGCAGTTAGCCTTTACAGATTTATTTAAGATAGCGTTCAAGCTGCAGCATGCTGAGAATAGCCCCAGAGGAGATGACAAACAAGATCTAGATCCTGCTGGACAAGTAGGTGCCGAATTCCTGTTAGTCTCAACACAAGTTTGTAAGGGTATAGAAATAAGAGACAAGCCTCCATGTGAAATTACCAACTTTATTTTTCTTCCTTTCATCAGAATGTGAAATGAGAGTAATTTACTGGTTAGATCTCTTTCAACCATGTGCACACAGGCTGCCTCAGCTGCTCTAGTCAAGGCTTGTAGCACAGAATTGAGGACTTGTCTGAATAAAGCTGGTCTTTACCAGTCACAAGCTGGCCCTCTGCGAACTGGTGAAAAGTTAATAGAAACAAAGTAAAGGCAGCATAATACAAACTTGAAATTTTAATTGTGAAAATAGTTTCTGTGGTGGCCAGAGAGCTTTGGTCTGAAGTGTCACGGATAAAAATTATGTCCAGTCATGAGTTTTAATGTACTAATGGTTGCTGAACTAGAAAAAAATCAGTGTTGTATCAGGAATTACTTTTTGAAACAAATCTAGCAGAAATTATGACAGTCTTAAGGATGTTTTAAACCATCCTTGAAACAATAAAAAGATTAAGAAAAAGTGATCCTAAGTAAATACATTAAGAGATTGTGCCATATCTATTTGTTAAAATAAAAACAATTAAAAATTACTTTCCAAGGCTTGTTCAGTAGAATAATCTGGATTTTTGACTACTTACACAAGACTAATGAGTTGGAATCTACCTGGGCAAAATTAATATAGCATGTTAAAGTCTTGCATTCAAGGAGAGCTTTTTGGAAAGGCTGGCTGTTAAATGGAGGACTAATCTTGTAGAGAAAACAGCACAATTAAACCCAGTTATGAAATATTTATCTCCAGATTAACTGTGTAACTCCTATGTCAGTAAGTAAATTAAAGCCTTGCCACTCTTAAATGAAGAATTATGCCCTAGAACAAGAAAGCCAAATATAAAATGATTCCATACTTAACTGGGGTGCCCTTAACCAAGATTAAACAAGGAAAGTTGAGTTCAGGTAAAGAAAACTTTGGGTGAAGCCAAATATTCTTGGTAGAGTTTTATCAGGTGTGCAGTCAGGACCTCTGTGAAACCAGTGGAAAAAACTCCTGCAGATCTGCGTATGGACATTTCACACATTTGACATAAATTGAATTGTTAGCTCACTGCAGTATGGCTCACCATGACATGTTTAGCAGTAGCATTTGCACCATTGCATCAGTGAAAAAATGGAAATGTTGCAATGCCAAACCTGGTACATAGTCTGCCTGTGAAGACCAGGATAAATCAGCATTTGGGTGATGGCTTCAGCTGTTATCTAATATAAAGTAATAAATACTTCTACTCTTAGTGCATATATGAAATTGAGTACAATAGGCCTACATAGATATCTTGGTCAATGGAAGTCTTAGCATCAGTCAAGAGGGTATCAAAGTCTGAAGACAAGAAATAGTCATTGAAGCTATACTTGGAACACAGTTAATTTATAATTAAATTATGACATACATCTAGAGCTTGATTAGAATAAAAAGTGAAGGCAGTGTAATTGCCAAAGCAGGTACATTGTATTCTGATATACTATGTACTTAGTTTTGTTTTGTATCCTTTTCTTTTTGTTGTTGTTACTTGTTTTGTCTTCAGAAAAGCTGGAACCAAGGTCCAAGGGAGGAACTCCGCAAGCAGCTAAAATCTCCAGAGGGAGAGAAACACTTCGGCTGAGAAGCAGAGGCCCTGCTACTGTGGAAGAAATGGTATGCTTATCTTGGGATCCTTCAATAGTTTAATCATCTAGCACCTGATTTATTCTTCCCCAAAATCGATAAACTAAAGTAGGAAGGAAAAATCTGGATGGTACAAAGCTTGTAGGACTCAAGAAGACAACTGCTTTCTGCAGGGAGAAATTCTTATATAACGTTAAGACTAGCAGGGATAGGATGGGGCTGAGGAATCTGGAAACAGAGAGCCTGTATTTAGGTGTCATGTTTTACGTGGATGAATTTGATGAGACCAAGGAGTGTTGAGAAGAGGGAAGGGGGGAAAGGGGAAGGGCACTGTTGAAGAGTTGGTTTTGTTTCTGACACTGCAAAGTGTGCTGTGCTGGTGTAAATGTTTTTGTTAGGAGAGGCTAATAACCTACGTTGACATTAATATGTGGAAAACGAGGTTTAGGGTTTGGAAGTAGAAATGTTATTTATTCTGGGTTCCTCTAAAACTAGTGAGGATTTGATGTAGATCTGTATTGCCAGGAGACGTAAGGTTCCTGTTTACTTTGAATGTGAGAGCTGTGTGGCATGACATTAGGAGGAAGGCTTGGGTTTGTGATAAGAGGGAAAGAGAGTGTAATAACATGTTTTACTTGTGGGCTTTGTAAGTCTAGGTAGCTAGGATGGGACTAAGGATAATCAGTGGTTAATTGCTGGTTAGTTTGAAATCTGCATGTATCTAATCATAATTTTGCTCTTTTTCTCCCTTTATTTTGACAAAGCCAACTGAAGTTGAAGAAAAAGCAATTAAAAAAGTGGATGAGCTTCTTGAAACATACATGGGGATAAGAGATATTGAATTAGGTGGGTTTTTAACAGACATATTGCTACAAGATTGAATAATTTCTCATTTTCTGTAGCCTAAAATTTATTGAGTACTTTAGTCTCTGGATGAAAGTGAAGCAAAGTTTGTTCAGCATGTGGTCTCAAGAGCTTGCCCATATTTCTGCACGTGTGTCTGATAAAAGAAAGAATCTCTCACTTCAAGCCTTATGTTGTAATTGATTAATCCTCTAGTCTTCATGCACATTATCTATACACTATTGCATGAATTATTTAGTTGTTTGCCACTGTCATCACTGTATTCTTTCTCACATATATTTTCTAGTGGGGCTTGCATGTGAAACATTTAAGGATTGTTAAGGATAAGCATGTCTATTTGCTTTTTTGCTCTTTTGCCCCTTGGCTTAGACACAAAGTTGATCACTGAAGAATCTGAGATCTTCATCAGTGAAAGGGCAACTATTTAGCAAGGGAACTGGCAAAGTAATTGCACAAATTTATCAAGTTCTCTAAAGCCTGGGTTCTGAAGAACATGGAAAATTTCCCAGAATATTTACTAGCTATCACAGTCATCAATTCATAATGAAAGAAGCTATTCAACCCCAGTGTCATAAATCCTTAAAACTGCACCAAACTTATCCTTGCAGCTGTAGCTTCTGTCTCTTAATCTAACAACAACTAAATAGAAACTTCTGTTTGCATGAAAGAAGCTGAAGTCTAGTTGAATATGAATTGCTGCTGCAGCCAGCTGTGGTTGCTGTAGTCCTCATACAATCTTGTGGAACTGCTAATACTGAGACAAATAAGGTGTTTATTGTTATGGTAATACTTAAAAAAAAATCAACCAAGACTTAGTAAAGGATAAACTAAATGGAAAGTGGTCTTAAAAGGAGAGCTTTTATGAGAAAGAAATGGAAGAGGCAAAGCAGGATTAAAAATGGGTTTGGCATGAAACTAAGGGCAAAGGAGGAGAGGCAGCAGTTAGCACAGAGGAATGAGAAAAATAGGAGATTATGTGAGTAGCTGAAAGTCCTTTGTTGACTGCTCCTACCGGCAAGCATCTGATTGACAGCTTCTAATAGCTTTCTCACTGGAAAAACTAGGTAAAGTATTATTTGTACCCCAGCCTGAGGTAGAGGTGGGCTTCTTGGCATAGAATAGAGAGTGAAGCACCCAAAACTTTGGAATTCTGTTTTGTAAGTAGTATCTAAACTTTCAAATTCCCAGAAAACTAAAAATTCTCCAGAATTCTGTTCCCAGCAACTCTAATACTTGATGCCCCTGCCATGTAATATGCTCCTGGGAGCCCTGTGTGGTGCTGACACTCTGTTTAGGTTAGGGAGGATCCCATGTCCTATTCCACTCTGTCTTTGGCTCAGGGTTCAAAGCTGCACGTTGCCTGCCTGTCATTCCTTTGGGAGCTGTTTTTGTCCTGCAGCTGTTGCAGTCCCAGCTCAAGCCAGGCTTCAGGAGACTCCTGCCCTTGCAGGTTACTTCCAAGGTCCCCAGACTCTTGGCCATATAGCAATAAGCAGCTGTAGGGGTTCTGGTTTTGGTGTCCAGAACCCTGAGATCCTAGGCCTAGAGCGTGGTTTCTTGGGATGCTGATGTGTGCTGTGCTCTGCTCTGGGACAGGGAAGCCTGGTGTTCCCTGTGGTTTTGGCTCTCAGTACTATAACAGGATGCCTCTTGCGCAGTAGACTGAGGAGTTCAGCTTTCCTCACATATGGTTGTGATGATTGCCAAGCACCTGGTAGAGCTTTCCTATGACCTCCTTGATACTGATTTTTCTTCTTTTTTTTTCTTTTCTCCCTCCCCCCCCCCCCCCCCCCCCCCAAGATCTAACATTCTTCATCTTTCAGTACATAGTTCGGAATGTTTCAAAGAATGCCTTAAAAGAATACTCAGAGAAGGAAGAGGCCTGTGTCCTCCAAGATACTCTTTTCTTCCCAAACTGGGTTATTGTTTTGCCCTTTACCTCTTCCTTCTCTTCCTCCCCAAAAGGGAGTCAAACAAAGAGAAACTGTCAGGAATCAAAGACTACAGGGTTCCTATCACTTTAGTTTGCACCTTTGAAGCCATTTCCGAAAAATCAAATGGTAGAGTGGAGGGCCAATGGTGATATCAACAACAAAAAGTTTTATCATTTTTAAATAATTAAACAGCCCTAGGACTCTTTAGGAGCACAGAGCTAATCACCTGTCACAAATCTGTTCAATTAACACATGTCAGTTTTTCATATACTGGATATGATCAGTCACCCATGAAAATGAAATATGAGGAAAAGATTCATTCAGAGAATGCCAATCACCACTCAGCTAGAAATTTCAGTCATTACTCAAGCCAGATTAGTTGAAAATGCAAGTCATCACAATGCACAGCTGACAAGTGATTAAGATCTCAATCATTGCTCACTCCCATGCAGTTCTGTTTGTCAGAAGCTTTGGATGTCAGTTAATATTGCTCTTTCATCTCCATTAAAATGTCACTTCCATGGTGTGATTGAATTCTAAAACAGTGCCCCAGTTTTAAGCCAGAAGTTCAAAAGAAAGGAAAGAAAAATAAAGTAAAATTACAGACAGAATTAAAGATGAGATAAAGCCCTTAATTTTTTCGTAGTTAAGTGTCTTGACAGTTTCAAGAATGGCTGACTAAATCTACACATAAATTCCTAAATTGGAGCAAAATGCTTGGAAATCGTGTAATGGAAATGCGTGCACTTTTTTTTTTTTTTTTTCCTGGAATGGTTCTGTATTTTCAGAGATCTAAATGCTGTTTAGATTTACATATCTGCCTTTTGAATGCACTGTTACCTCTTTACCTCTTTAGTCTGCTGAAAACTGGACTTAATCTGCAGAAGGGACAACTGGCTCTGTTGAGTTTATTAGCCATTTATGGACATGCTAGAAATTGGGCCAAGGGTTGACTTCAGGCTTCTTTAAAACAAATGTGCCATGGAGAGACAATTCAAGTTATTTTAAATCCTGCCAGTGCTTTCTGGTAAAGGAACATGAACATTTGATTAATAGAAGGGACTCGGGAAGCACTGCTAATGAAAAAGACTGGTGTCTTTTTTTTTTTAAATCAGTGAGGCTCAAATTATTATGAACTGTGTTTGATCCCAAAGATTCTGGGTGGGAGGAAGTCTGGATTTACGGGATCCAACCTCAGAATGCTACCGATGGAAAAATGAAGGCAAAAAGGGCTTCCTGTCCAACTTTTTTCTTTCAACATCTTTTGGCTAGCTCTTCATCCACCGATGTTTTGTTCTATTTTTATGCATTTGGATGTTATTTCCTTTTTTTTGTTTTTGTTCCTATGATATTGCCAGACAGTAAATATCTTGGCATATTCTCCAGCTCTGTTTAAAAGAATTTCAAATCTACTTTTCTACTCTTTATTCTTCATACTTACTGTCTAGTCAAAATGCCCTAACAGGTTTAAACTTTTTGTCACCCAAGCTGCTTCTCTTGGTTCATTAATCCAAACCCAGTAGTATTGGATAGATGATTTTATCTTGAAATGCTTTGACTAAAGTGATACTTTCCCTGAACCTGTTGTTTTCTGCTCTTCTATTTTCTGTGACCAGACTTCCTTTCTCAAAGGATTTTGTTGTATACACTCTGGGGTATTTTGTTTATGACTGTTAATTTACTCTGGGAGAATAACGGGAGTTTTGTGAAAAACGTGGCAAGTCTGGTTAAACAAGAAAACTTCTCCACTTCAAGAATTAATACTTACTAAAAAGAAACAAGAAAGGATATTTCTAATGGTTCCTTGAGTACCAGATCTGACAACATTCAACATGAAACTAAACCCAAGTACTGTTATACACTGGAAACTGCAAAGACATGCTTCATTTTCTGTCATGTAAGGAAGCTGAATGTGAATTTTAGCTGGTTTAGGCCATAATAATAATGCTTGTTACATTTTGATGAAGGCAAAGCTTCTAATTAGCTCTACAGCTAAATAAATACTGAAGTTTCCATTAGGGCTTCTGAAAAAGATTCTTTAGAAGTTACAGAGTAGGGTGCAAGTAGCAAAACTACTATGTAAGGTAGGCAGTAACAGTGGCAGGCAGACTGTAGCTTTCATGGCTTGTTGTACATTGCCCGTCAAAAATGAAAATAAGGATTTTGTGAAAGATCTTGGAGGTTGGAGTGACTAGGTTAAAAAAGCCAGTACAGTACTTTGTTCATATTCTGGGAGGCCTGATACTGAGCTTCACAGTTAAAGTTGAGAAGACTCCTAATTCCTCTTATCCCTTTTAAGTTTGCTGAACTTTTCACATTTTATGTAAAAATTTCTCAGGTATTAGCATTGCCTGAAGTGATATTTAAAATCCCAAATAATCTGAAAACAATTGGGGCTATCTGGAGTGTGGAAAAATATTCTATTGGAAAAAAATTCCCCTAATCACTTATTGTGAAGCTGTTACAAGAAGCAGTGGGGGAAAGGGAGGGGAGTGGAGGCAGTTTGGCGCATGGAGCTGTCATCCTCTGAGAACCAGTAAAGTTTTCTTCAAGTTGGCCAGTGCTAAATGCCTTAGCAATCAGTAGTTTTGATTTGCCTTGGGAATTACTCATTGCAAATGTCATTGTGTAAACATGCATGTTCTGCACAGCTGTGGCTCCCAGGGGATGCCAGCCCCTGTCTGTGTTTACTGCATGGTGAAATAAGAATATGTACACTGTGTGATGGAGAAGACTGGCCAGCTTTAGTGTGTCTGTATGTATGAAACCAGGGAAGCAGGGATCAGTTTTGCACGTTTGTATACATCAGCGGGACAATTTGTGTGTGTGAAAATTAGGAAGGATGGCTTGCATCTTCTATCAGCTTTGCTGTACGGTAATAGAGCTCTGCTGGCACTAGAGGTCAGCACCATGCTGTGGAAAACGTGCAGCCCAGCACAAAGATCCTGCAATCCCTTCATAGAAGCGCTTTTCATCAGGTGAATCTGGGAAGCAGAATGTGCTTTAATAAATACAGTACATTAAATGTACCCTGGTAGTGCTGATTACAGTTCTTCAATACACTGAATCATAGAATTATAGAGCAGTTTGAGTTGGATGACCTTCAAAGGCCATCTAGTCCAACCCCACTGAGTGGGGACACCTTCAATTGGACCAGGGTGCCCAGACCACGTCCAGCCTGGTCTTGAATGTCTCCAGGTGAAAACACTTATTTGAAACTTTTGGCGGTGCTATTCTGACTCCTGCTTGATTGGGTTGAAAGTTTTCTTGATTATCTAAGTTTAGTGGATTTTGTTTTCAAGTGTGGTAAATCTCTACTGAACTATTTACAGGGTTCTGTTTCATAATTTGGGAAGCTCAATCTTTAAAGAAAGCTGTGTTTGAAGTAACATTTTCTGTTAATGAGAGAGTTTTACTGTGTAATTCTGAGGTTTCAGCTAGAGCAGTTGGACTGTAAAATAATCTTGTGTTGTTTTTTCACTGCTCTCTGTGTCATATGGCTCTTCCATGTATCTTGACCAATTTATCTTAAAACTGGCTAAATTCCTTGCTCCCACTCATTCTGCTGGAGTACTTGGCTGTTGATTTTTTAATATCTTGAGTAACTAAATCTAGATCTGTTTGCTCTTGTGTCGCCTTGCGCAGCTTTTCTGCCTAAAGCCCTCTCTCAATGTCTGTATAGAATCATAGAATCGTTAGGGTTGGAAAGGACCTTAAGATCATCTAGTTCCAACCCCCCTGCCATGGGCAGGGACACCTCACACTAAACCATGTCACTCAAGGCTCTGTCCAACCTGTAGAGTAAGTTCATATCTGAGTTCATATCCAGGAATCTGTGAACTTAAAATTGCACCCCTCACCTTATTACCTCCAGGGTTGCTCCTCTCTAAGTACCTTCTTATGCCATGGTGTCAGGGGATACAAGGTAGCATTGATAGGTCAGATATTTGTCTTCTGCTTGTCAGGAACAAGAGTCCCATTAATGCCTGCTTCCCATCCAGCCTTCTCTGAGTCACCATCTCAGGAACTTAACAGGGGATACAGAAAGGATCAGTGCAACAGGGTTAGGGTTTCTTCTGGCAGCCAAACAGGTCTTGAGAGTCCTTGAGCACTACTTGTGGTGCCCCGAAGCTGGGTTACACTTGAGCTGTCTTGATCACAGCAGTTTGTTTGTCAAGGTTTATGTAAATTTTCCTTGGATTGTTTTGTGTAGCTTGGCACACTGCAGTCCTGTTTGACGCCTCACGTCTGAAAGTATTTTGGGCCAAAACATCAGCTTTCTTCAGATTTACCATTGCTGATGTCCACAATGTGGAATATGGTTCAAGTTTGCTCATAGCTTGTTAGAAGTTTGCGTAACAGCAAACACTATTTGCCAGAAGTTCATAACTGTCAATAAATTTGAGCTGAGTTTCAGGTTAACAAAATAATATTAAATAAGTTTAATGAAACCTCAGAGCAGGGGAAGTTTCTTTTCCTTTTTATCAGAGGGATTTTACCATGTTGATACAATACAGTGCATGCAGTAGATGGCAGACTACTGTCCCATTGAGGATAGTCTCTGTGGCTTCAGAACTTCCCTCCCTTTCTCAGGCACTGTAATACATGTTTTTCACTCTGATATCCCACTGAGAAAAGGCTAGGAGCTATAAAATCTTTCAGTGTGACACTTGAATTTGATATGTTCGTGAACGAAGTGGTGGTTACTTGATATATAACCATAGACGGAGGATATATTGCAGCTTAAGGCAGGTATGTAAAGTAATCACAAAATGAAGCAGACTTTGAGGGCTTCATCTGTTGTACAATACTGTTATTTCTTATGAAATAAGTCTGTGGAGTTGATATATAGCTCAGAAAATAAACTGCATTTAGCAGTGCTATTTGTGCCAAGTCTGTTTTAGTCTTCTGCATGCCTCAGACGCACCTGCTGGTAATATTTCTCCTGCCATAGCTTAACCAGGAGAAACTCTGTGCTGTCACTTTTCATCCTTCAGGGAGGTGCAAGAGAATTTGCTCTAATATCCCTGGGTTGCCAGCATCCAGTATTTTTTGGGATAGCCCTGTAATTTGTCCTAGAATCTGAGTAACTGTGCAGTTTCTAAAGGTGTGAGGCATGAGCACAGCAGCTAAGGACTGAATCCTAACAGCAACCTCATTGTAGCTAATTCCAAGTCTAAAGCTTGATAAATTCTGATACTTGGGTGTTAAATAAGAGGAAATGCTGGGCGGCATGGGTGTACAAGATACCATAGTCTACTCCTATTGTATCAGACCTCTCTGCTTTAACTTTCCTGGGTACCAGATGTACCTAGTCTTTGGTGGCTCTGGTTTGTTGTGCACAGCAGCAAGGTCTTTCCCTTGTTTTTGCACAATGTGAACCACCTGTCTGAGACTTCCAGAAATAACTTTGATCTTTTTCACTTCTTAGTGGCATAAGCACAAATATTCCAGCCTTGAGGGTGCTGGGAAAAGCAAATTGAAAATTTCGTTTTTTTTGGAGCTGGAGGTAATAATAATTGAAGCAAACTTATGCACTGAAGTTAGTTTCCCTTTAGTTTGCATGGTATCCGGAAAAAAATGTAGATCCAAGCAGAAGAATAATGTGGCTCACAATAGGTGCCTCAATCTCTTTACTGCCTGGAGGTGTATTTTGGCTTTAAAAAACAAGCTAATTAAAATAAAATAAAGCTGGAAATTTAAGCACATCTGAGGTCATATGATAGTTGCAAACATATTGTGTCTGATACCTAACAAACCAGATTTTGATTTTCTCTATATTTTACACAGCACAGTTGACCCTGGTATTTTAATTCTTGTTTCCTCAAATAGAGTATTCAAGTGTCTCTTAGCCCATTTATCATTACTCCTTTCTAAATGCAGGTCATGCTCAACATTTAAACATTTAAACTCACAAAACATGGTTTGCTGCTAGCAAGCCCATACTAGCTTGGAGCATGTATCTGTTATCCAGGGTTTATGTTTTCCTTGTTCAAACCCTATGCCTTTTGGCTTTCTGTGAAGAACTTAGCTACTTTAAACTCTGACTTGCTGAGAAGTTTTCTTCTTCGTTTAGAAGAGAAGAACATTCAGGTTTGCCTTTTGATCTTCTGGTTTAGATCAGCAAGCTCATATCAAACTCACTGAAGTTAGTGTTGACTAGGTCTGGTTATTGCAGAAGGGTTGTGTTTAACCTGGGTTTTAGACCCATGCTTCATATGTCTTCAGCAGTGAATACAGAATATAATTGAATGAGATTAAAATGAAAGTCTGTTGAATTAGAAGTTAAACCTGCCAAACAAACAGAGGAATGTATAATGAGCACTCCAGGGAGGCTCTCCTGTTTATCAGATTAGAATGTTGCTACCGTGGGGGGATTTAAGTACATGAATCCTAAATCCAGTATGTAAACTCTACATCTCCCTAAGCTGATCTCTACCTGGTCGTGGAAATAGACGTTCAAAAACTATCTTGGCAATATATGTTATCTGTTACTTTCATAATAATTACATTGTTTTGTTGCTTTTTAGCTGCAACAATGGTGGAAGCTGGAAGAGACAAGAAAAACCCAGATGAATTTGCAGTGGCATTGGATGAAGCTCTTGGAGACTTTGCATTTCCAGATGAGTTTGTCTTTGATGTATGGGGAGCAATAGGTGATGCTAAGCAAGGACGACTGGAATGAGAACTGTGCAGTTTATCAGTCCCTAGTTGAAACTACAGAATGATTTTCAAATATGTACATCAGAATTTTAATACTTTTATTGATATGAATCCAGGGAGCTCTGTTTAAGTGTTCATGTCTGAGTCTTCTAAGGAAGGTTTGTAATAGAAATATGAAGATAACCCCAAAGTTCTGACAACTGCACATTTAAACCAAACAATTTACATGTACAAGTCACTGTGAGTGCGTCAAGAAGCTATATTTATACAGACCTTTTATGAAAATTAGGTATTTTTTATTGTACATGCGCTTTGATATCAATATTCTGAAAAGTGTTAGACATATGCAAATGAAGAATTTGGATTGGTTTATAAACTTAGAGAATCATCTAGGTTGGAAAAGACCTTTAAGATCATCAAGTCCAAGTGTTACTCCAGGACTGCCATCTCACCAAACCATGTCACTAAGGGCCTCAACTTGTTGAAAGACTACCTAGCTACATGCTGCAATTCCCTGGTCTTCTGTTGTCCTTATGTATTCGTGTGCACAAAGAGCTGTGGAGCAGTGGTTTGGCCTAAACGTAGTCTGTTCTGTAGACAGCTGGGAAGAAGCTACCCTGTTTCTAAAGAACCTGAGTTCAGGAGAAAAATATTCCTCTGAAACATGAGAACTCCGATCTTTGAATGAAAAAGACTTGCTTTCATTTGAATCATAATAATGTCTAGTCTGGGTATTGCTGAGATGAGGAAATACAGTAAAAATGCTTAAACCAGGAAGCTGCTGCTTTTTCAGATGCCGTATTATTGCAATAGGAACTGCATAGGAAGAAACAAATGTTAAATTTGGGTTCTGTTCATGTATCTGCATAATACCTGTGATGGGGCACTGAAGACTATAATGTATGACTACGTGGTTCATGGATCTTTGCATATGCTAGATTATTTGCTTAGATCCTATGGAGTTCCCCTCTGGTCTGGGTTGGTTGGTTGGTTTTTTTTTTCAACATGGCAACACAGGAGAAGACCTGGATGGTGTTCAGACCTGGAAGATGTCACAAACAGCCTCAGTTTGGGTGAAAACACATGCCTAAACCCTGAAGAATACATTAAACTCATCTGAGATGTTAGGATTTCCAATTACTTTGTACATGAACATTTATTTTAACTGATAATACATTACTAGTAAATCTCTGATTATTGAAAATGAAATGGAAATCGGATGTGGGGCCTGACCTGGGAAGGTGTTACAGCTTTTAAATATTTTTATTTGCACAAACATATGAAATAATAGATATTACAAACATTTTTCTAAATCACTACCTAATTACTTTTCTTCTGAGGAAAATGCCTTTTGCTGTTTTGCAGAGATCTCTTTGAAATAAAGATTATGCCAATAATTTTACATGTTCTATGTTGCTGATTTTTTTGTAGTCTAAAACCATGACACTCTGAAGTATAATTGAGAGAGCGGGTCCTCATTCTCTTTGTTATTTAGGAAGGATCCTGAAGTCCACATGAGTCTTTTGCACGTTACAATAAGTGAATGTTTTTTTTTCTAGTAAAGAAATACTGCATGAAGTACTTCAGTGGTCTTCCGATGGGGATAATTTCCAATTTTATAAAGGCTGTTGTGCATATTTTACTCTTGTACCTCTGATTTAAGGACAAGTTTTCACATAATACCGATATTCCTTTTTATGGGGTGAAACACGGTGGTATGGAAGTCATAAATTTTAGTGTGTTAAAGAAGTTCAAAGTTGTCAAAATTTCTCTTAATTGTACTAGTGCCTCATCATCAGTCTGGGATGAAACCTATATGTGTATTCAAACAGATGTGATCACTATATATTTCTAATTGTAGAAATGGATATGAAAATTTAGGTTATTCTAAAGTTATGAGAAATAGAGATCATTTTTCAAGAAAATTTGAATTTTAATAAAACTTGAAAATAAAAGAAACTTTGTAAGTAGGTAGTTACGTTATATACATCCCATTGTTCAGTTGGGACCTTGAAAATGTTTATTTTGAGAAAGGAGTGTAATTTTAGGACAGAGAGCACAAGGTAGGTAGCATTTCTCTGTATTTAATAGTTGCAAGCCTGAGCCCACAATCTTCTGTTGCAGTTGAGCATACTGTATCTTGTACACAGGGTTACTTTAACTAATGTGCTGTTGGTAATGAAGAGTTAAAGTACTGTGGGCCATGTTATTTATTCTTTAAACTTATTTTAGATGAAAAGGAAAAATTAAATGTCAGGAATTCCCAGTCAGTTTCAAATTGTTTTATATAAAACTGAAATGTCAAATTTTGTGGAGATGATTATGTACACTAATGTTAGTAACCAACATGCTGCTGGTTATAAAATCAATGAAAGTTAAGAATTCTGTCTTAAATGGCGAAAGAAAATGCACTATGGAGGAGTAGTATCTAATATATGAAATGTAACCTATAGCAGATAACCCCTTGTGTTTTGGATGCTCATTTTATTTTGAGAAATTAACGTTGTTTAATCAATTTATCCTCAGAGGATAATTTGTCTCATTACACTTATAAAATAGCAAGATAAAAATAATCTCTGAAGCTCTAATTCTGCACAGAGCTGTCTGGTTTTATAGTGGCCTATCTTTTTTGTAGTTTATTTCAGAACTAAGATTTAAATAGCAATTCCAATTTTACTAGTGTTTACGGCAATAAAGTATGTCAATACATAAATTTACAAACAGTAATTTTTCTGAGTTCTCATTTATGATACACGATTTCCAGCACATAAGACATAATGGTACCACTACCCAATTTAGTAGATTATTTGCATTTTCCAGCTATGCATGAATAAATTGTCACATCAAAATCACATTACCTTATAAAGTATGATAAATACTTCTCGCTCTTTGTAATTATTTCTGTAGTAAATTAATGTTGTTTTACTAATGAAATACAGCCTGCAGATCCCTTTAAAACCTAGTCAGTAATAACACTAAAGACTTTGCATGCTGTGTAGGGTGAAAATATCATAAAATGTCGCTAAAAAACCTTGCAAATTTATTTGAAGTACTAGTTCTAGTTAATAAAAGTACTGCTCTGTAGTAGAACGATAAACATCTTGTTAGTGTGTGGCACAGGTGGAGGTGAATGTTGGTGAATAGTCCTCTCAGGATCTGAGGTCCAAGGTAGTAACTCAGCCTGAATGCTGTTCTAAAAGTGACTGATTCCTTATTCTTGTAATTTGGTGCACAGTTTGCAGGGAGCTGGCAGGTATATGTGATTGTTCATGCCTTTACTTCCAGACTTACTGCTATATTCAAGATGATGGAAAAGACACCACTATTTTTCTCTGTAAGCAATAGCCTTTAGATGCAACAAGGGGATTTAATGAAATCTGGTGTTCATAAAGGTCTGAGCTTGTAATCTTAAAAATATGATGAGGGACGAATATTTCACAGTTTTAAAGGAACTAATTTTGCAAATTACAGTGTTATCTTTTGCAACACCTTTAGTATGCCAGATGTTACTTCAGTTAAATTTGATTTTATGCAACCCTATTCATAATAGTCTTTATTCAAATAGCCATTAATATAATCAGTGTATTTGTGAAAATCTTGTCTGCTATTCAGATTTGCACTTTGATTTGAATAATGCATATATCCTTATTTCTGCATATGACTTTCTTTGCAATTTGTCTTTCCTCCTTTTTTTCAGCTGAAAGTAATATAAAGCTTTGAAAATCTTGTTCTTTGTATTTGAGAATGAAATATTAAAGTTAAGCTAAATTATATTGTTTTGTTAAGAAAAAGCTATCAGGCAAAATGTAAAGCAAGGTATACATTTTTTAAAGTGCTGTCTGTGATGACAAAAAAGCAAGTTGCAGATTTTTTTTTCCTGCTTTTTAATGTGAACTTCTGCTACTTTTCAAACAGTGTATTGTTTTCCATGAAAACAGCTCTGAGAATTTCTATTCCAAAGTCTGAATATTGTAGTAAAATGATATATTGCTGTTAGTTTCCTTTCTGCCAGGATATATTTCAGAACAATTAGAAGTCAGGGTGTTGACTGTTTGCCCTTTTGAAATCAGATGCATGTTTGCCATGAACTTCAGAACTCAACTGTAGCAATAAGAACTTAATCTGAGTTTTGTATTCAGTATTGTTCTATTTTCCAATTCCCTGACTCCCTGTGTTTGTAAGGCATTTTGCCTTTAGATGTTATAGTTCGAAAAATATGCGATTTAGTTTATGAAAATATGAACAAATGTACAGGCTTGGGAATCAAAGATAGGGGAAATCCTCAGCATTTCCTGAAGATACTTGCAAATAGTCTTTCTTTAAAGAACATGCAGCCTGCAGTACTGGCTTTGTCCTCAGAAAAGGTATATTCAGTGTGTTTATTTTATTCAGGGAATGACAAAAAGATGATCAAGATTGAGATAGCAAAAATGTAAAGCAATAAAAAAATATATTTTAAATGAAACACATGCACTGGCTTCAAATAGAACAACAAAAGGTCCGTAGATTGAAGAGAAGCAACCTCCTGATGTTTTTAGGCTGCCCTATCTTTCAACTCCTGTTGCTTTTAAACAGAGGTCATGAAGAGCTTTTTCACTTTTCTTCAAATAATGGCAGTCCTTACCTAAATCTCTATTGCTGTGTGAAAGCTCTTTCAGAAAAATGCAGCTGTTGGTTTTGTAGCTGAGTCATTAGTCTATGGGGTTGTCACAGTTCCCTGAGAGCTAATGCAGAGTTTTCAAGTTGTCACAAACTTAATTCTACTGTATAGATTTGACAGAGGAAAAAATAAGAGAGAAATACACATATCTACTTTTCTTTGAAATTAGAGGGTATCTGACAGTTCCACTTCTCAGAGTCCTTACTGCAGTACTTCTGCAGCGATCTCTGTGTAGAATCCTGAAAAGTAACAGAAAAGATGATACCGGGTAAAATCTTTTGTCTGAAAATCTTGCCAAAACAATCACCATGCAGTAAAATGTGTTGTAAATTATTAGGAAACCATCACTGTGGAAAAAGAGTAACTGCTATTCAAAAGCTTGAAAGGTAACCCCAGCTTGTGACATAAGGTAGAAATTTTCCAAGAGCTCAGATGAAGAACATGACTAACCATGGAAACAAAGCCAAACATTTCTTCCCAAATCTTTGTTTCACTTCCTTTATTCTAGTTGTGTTTGCCAAATGTGGTCTCTGGTTATTGGTACATAAATCTGTGTGTAAAGCAAACCAGCTCACACGGCAGACAGGATAGTGGGTCAGAAAAGTAGTGAGCTGCTTAGCATAAGATAATACGTGATAGCCTTGCAGTTGTGAGGATAACCATTTGTTGGTACACACTGTTGTGAGGAACTGGTCCTATCTTCCTTCTGTTTCCTATCATAGTCACCAGCCTGGCTGGGGTATAAATGAATGAGTAAAGATGTGAGAGCACTGGCTAGATAAGTTAATTTCTAACCTTTCCCACTGCTAAATCTGTGGTTTGGACTAGAGATGATTCAGAGTAAATCCCTGACACAGGATTAGTGTGGATGTTGGGCACTTGGCCCCAGTGATTTTGGTCATCAGACCTGCTTCTGTGGTTCCTCGACTGCTTGCTAAAGTGCACCCACTACCCTGCCCTATTAATGTTTACTAGGAATGTGGGCTCATGAATGTAGCATATACATTTAATGCCTAATGAGTTTTGTAAGTCTGGGTGCTTTATCTTGGAAATTAACTGCATTTTCTTCTCTTTGGAGAGCCTAAAGGTTACAAGTAACAGTCCCCAAAGCTTTTCTGTTGCATTTCTGTAGCCATTGCACATCTGAACTTTTCACAGAGGCAAAGAGAATACAAACAAGATTCACTATAATATCCAAGTTTTTGATTACTAAATATGCTTTATATTGACTTCTTCTGTCTTGTTTTGCGATGAGTAGTTAAATATTTTATTATTAATGTTTCCTGTTGAAGCATTAATTAACCACATAAAGGAAAAGGTATTTGAATTTCAGATGAGCTCTAATTGCAGAAACATAATGCATGCCAGTACTTGGCAATACCTAAGAATGCAAGTGTCTGCTTACTAAATCATTTTATTAATATTCAAAAATCTTTTTCTATGTGGGTTTTTTCTTTTTTTTTTGTTTGTTTTATAAGGAAATAGGTTCATAGAATGGTGAACAGCCAGGGAGAAAAACTTTTAGGTTAGTGGAAAAAGCTGTTAATAGCAGGCTTTCACTTGCAAGCTGTGCTTGTAACACAAACGATCTAATAACAATTTGTCTAATCCTTTCACTTGACAACTCTTCCACTAAAGGGACTAATTTGTACTTCATGCATATAAACTCTCCCTGGCTTGAAATGGGAAGGAAAGCATGGTAAATCCATTGCAAGTCCTGTTTTCCAGGCTTATGTGTTGAA